GTTCAGCAGTTATCCTAAAACACAGAGTAACTAAAGTGGGGTGTGTCACTGCACAACCCATTTTGGACACTAATCCTGCCTTTATTCATGCTTCAATGTGAGTATTCTTGTTATGTGTGAAGAACTTGGTTCTCTTGTATCGAGTGTCTTACTGGCCTTGACAAAACAAAATTCCTTATCCTGCTTACCCCCAAAAGAGGGAGGTGTGAATACTTCAAGTAAAATCTTGAAGAATAAGTTAATAAGGCCTATTTTCATAGAGTAAGTTGATAAGGCTTTGATAAGAAATATGGTATGACAGGACACACTCACTCAGTGAGCCAGCCCAAAGCAGAGAGGAGACTTTTTTTCAGGACCTTTGAACAGCTGAAAGTCTGTTTCTCTCCCTCAAATTGCCTTTTCTGTGAAAACTTGAAGGCAGAGGGTTGAAAATGCTTCTGTTAGGTATAGAGTCAAATAGGTCCTATTCTGAGCTGGCTAAACTGGAAGTGAAATGTGTCACTTCACAGGTGGGTTTTTGAAGACAAATAGCAAAACAGTTGTCACTCTTGTGCCATAGAAAGGGACCTTAAGCTGGCATCTGGGGAGGAGCAAGTGTGGAGTCTGGAAACACTAGCTTGAAAGCTTTCAAGACAGTGTTTGCAAGCAGTCAGTGATGTGTACTTCCTGACCTTGTTGTGTTATTGCCACGGTGTTAGTGTTGCAAATTTAACTCAAGTCTGTGTAACTATGGAGTATTGTGTTGAACTTGAAGGTTTTGAAACAGGACCACCTTGAGTTGTTTTTGTTGGGGTTTATTTTCAGGTCTCAGCATGGTTTTTCACAACCTTCACAGTCTCAGGGCTAAAGGACAAAATCCACTATGTGGAAAGCCTTCAGCAGTTGTTCACAGCCATACCCCCAGAACAGATTGATCTCCCCCCTTTCGTCCTCGAGTATGATGCCAGGGTAAGTGATTGCATGTGGCCAGTGTCAGTCTTTGCTCCTAAGTGTAGTTCTTGTGCATCTCCCATTCTGCTCTGCAAGAGCTTTAAAGGGGCTTATTTCCACATCTTAAGAATGAGGAGAAGAAAGGCAAGGTTGCTGAAGAGTCTAGTTGTTCTTCTCTGAGTAACTATTTTCTTTATTATTATTTTTTTCTGTATCAGTCCAAGTAGAGGGCTTGGCTAAGAAACAAACTCCTTTCCCATAGAGTGGTCTCCTATGTGCATAAGACTGCCTTTCTTCAGCTGAGAACTGTAATTTAACACACTAAGAGCCTGTGGACAAGATAAAATTTGTGGTTTATATCAGCTATATACCTTACGCTGACGGCAAAAAAAAAGCTATCTGTGTTTCATCTTCCCTGTCCTACGTATCAATAAGCACACAGGAAGGGAGTGATGGGAGGGGGAGGGGGAGCAAGGAAACAGCAGTGGGGAAAAATGGAACCATCGCAGGGTGCCTTGCCTTTGTGTTGGTTCCTCTTCCCTTCTCCATCCCAGATCTCTACCAAAATAGTGGAAAGAATGGCCAAATCATTCTGTAGAGGAAGTGCTGTAAATACAAAGTAGCAGCCAGAGCCCTGTGTCTGCATAGGCAACTTTGACCCCAGTCACTGGCTGTGCTACCATTTGTGGCTTCCTTGCATCACAGCTTTGGCTCAATGCCAGAAGTTTAACCTGCACCTCTTGTTTTAAACTGAGGCAAAACTGAGGCCTGTTTTTGTTTGGTTACCAGCACAGTCCTCTGCTGGGTGAATTGTGGCAGTCACTATACACGTGGAAGATGAAGCCAGGAGTACCTGTTTATTTCTGCCTCTGGGTCAGTATCCATTGCACCAAGATGTATTAGAGAAAACTTTTGTTCAACTGCTCATTCTGTTCTCATTGCAGGAAAATGGGCCTTACTATTCTTCTTATCCTCCATCCCCTGACTTGTGATCTGCAGTCCTGTGATGCTGCTGGTTTCCCATGGATCCAATGACCTGATGCCTGCCAAAACCTGTGCAGTTGCCCATGTACAGAATTCAGAGAGAGGGTTTTCCTCCCCCAGCTCTGGTATTTTTTTACTGATTAGATATTTTCAAGCACTCAAGCAATCGGAGAACTTTATGCCACTGTGAACTGTGCAACTATTTCAAATTTATTTATCCAATGGAAAAGTTGATTTAAAGATCACTAGGTGCATTTTATTTTGTTCTTTTTGAAGCTTACGTTTATTTCTGAACAGACTTTTCTGGGAAATCATCAAAAACACTTGAACATGTTTTTAGCTATTATCATTTTCCAGCTTCGTTTGTAATACCCATTTCTGACTGGCCTGTCCAAATACTGTGCAGTACCAGCCTGACACGTTGCTATCATATGGTCTCTGTGTTTCACATCTGATTATTTTCCCTTTGTGTTAGTGTTGATTACTTTGGTCTTAACCCAGCAAAAGTATCTGGAATTGGGAATGCCATGTTGGCAGGCTGAACAAAGCACTACAGCCAAGCCAAGATTACTTCAAGACTTAGTACCGTAAATGCTAGGTGAGCAAGGAGCCTTGATAAAGTCCCTGTCAGTTTTCATTGGATGATGTGACATGTCAGGATGCTGCTACCTTCCCAGTAAGAATAAAATTGAAAAGCAGTTGCGGTTTCTTTTCTCTAACTGTAGTTGTTTATGTTCTCCTTTGGCATGGCCAGATGTCTGTCTGATAAACAAATGCCATCTGCCTGAACTATGCACGGAGGGGAGAGGGAAATGATGACTCCAACCCCAACCTCTGCTGGCAGAGATTGTTTCTTAGAGATATCAGTGTCCCTTTTATTTCCTGTTACACTGACACGCACTGATTTTGAAAGACATGATACGTGTAAGAGAGCTCAGCTACAGGATACTTAGAGAACTAGAGGTAAAAAGCTTTTCAGCCTGCCTAAGAGGAGGGAGAAGGTTGTCTTGTAAAACATAATCGGGAATGGCAGTCTAAAATACAGAAGGATGGAATCCCTGGTAGGAAGAATGTCACAACAGTACTGAGTATGAAAATGATAGTACAGTTTTCATGTTTTCATTCTAGCTGCTTTCATGCTGTGACACGGATCTGCTACTCTCTTTACCAACATTCAGTTTTCCTTGTTCTGCTACTTCTGCAAAAACTACCTTTTTTAAGCATAAGCAGATGTTGTCATGAGATACCTTAGAAGGTGGTTATTCATGCCTATTGAGTTGAAAGAGATACCTATTTCCGGTCTTCTTTAAAGATACTGTAAATCATTGGGATAAACGGGAAAAAAAATCCTTCCTTGGTTTTGGTCATCAAATCACATCTCACAATTTGTGTTTGCAGTCTGAAAGTTAGGGCTTTTGTAAGTTAGGAGTCCAAAGATGGGCCATATTGACTTTCCTTTCTTTTCTGCCTTGGCCTCCTGGCTTAATGTGGTGTTTATACTCTACGTGTCCTCAGCACGTTGGTATGTTAGTTACAGATTCAGATAATCACTTGGCTGAGGTTTCACAGGTCTACATATACAACAGTGTCCTCCAGGGTCCTTCTGTGATTCCAGTATCAGATCCAAGGTGCTCCCAAAAGCTGGAAATTGGACCACAATGGAAACCACCTTGGTGTTAATACCTGAGATTGTGCACCTTATGGTCAGTTCACTGTGATTCTTTCAGCACTTTTCTGGTGGTTGAGAAGGAAATAGCTGCAGTCTGCACTGAGCAGTTACCATGTGTCCCCCTACCTCCTCTTTTCACCTAGCTGCTTACAGCTGCCCTTGTCTAGTGACTTTTATAGCCAGCAATGAATTTTCCATGCTTCTCTAATGATTTATGTAGCTTTCCACCCTCATTAACCATCTGATGTTTTTCACACCCATGGCATTTTCAGTGGGGCTGTTGCAGGATAACCAGTGTCAGCTTGATAGGCAGATTAAAGGTGATTCAGAGCATAATGTGAAAACCGAACTCTCAGCTTCAGTTTTTAGATGGTTTCTGTCCCTTTAGCTCACAGATGGCTCAGAGTCATAAACCTAAACAGATTCTTCGTAGGACTCAGTCTGCACGTTTTTCAAACCCTAGTCCAGTCATTTTAAGAAATGGCTTGGCTCAGTGAGGAGCAAATCTGCCTCCAGAGCATTTGCAAAGCAAAAAGGAGATCTTGGCATTGTGCATCTTATTGTGTATATTTTTCCCTTGAAAGACTTGGGTAATTATTTTTTTTTTTTAAGTAAAGTCTCCCAAATCTCAGTGGCAAGACAGACCTGCATTGTGCTGTAAAGATCCTGCATTTTCCAGTAAGTCTGGCAGTTGTGGCAATTTACCAATTTCTTTTTAACAGAGACTTACAAGTAACAGGTCGGGGGGGGGGGATCAAATCATTGAAGCACTAGAGATATTAATTGCTATTAAAATGTTTAATTCTAATGTGCAAAACAATGCATTAAACTAGCTGAACTGCATTTGGTTTAAGCTGAGATAAACACTGGCATGCCCTAGTTAAGGGTGGATGCTTTCCTCCTGAAGAGGCCAGGGAGGCAGTCTGTGTATGTCGTAACTGTGTGCATTTTAACACCTCTACCCAGAGCAGCCACTGCAGAGTTAAAGGTTCTGATGAAGGTTTTATTGCCTTGATTAAAGCTATTTCACACCATCTGCAGCCTCAAAAGGGGAGTCTCCACAGGGAAGTGTGTTAGCGTAATTATGAGTGTGGTTATTACCACTGTAACTCCCTGTGTGATGTTGACAGTAGAGTGATGTTGTGAGTGAAATTCAGATGTGGTGCTTAGGCACTCATCAGCCACACCTCATCCAAAAGCATCCTGTATTCCCTTGCTGACACTGTGATTAGATGTCTTAAGAGCTCAACTCTGTCAAGCTGGCAGACTCTGAAGCAATTACCAAAGCAGCAAAAGGTGTAGTATCTGGTGGCTGCTGCTTCTGTTGTATTTTGTTTGTTTCTTAAGCAGATGCTCTTGGGAGCAGGAAACAGCAAAAAGTTGTGGGCAAAGTCAGCATGTTGAGCTTTCCACGGGCTGCTGAGCCAGTGTGAATTTGCGATGTACACTTGAAGCTGAGCTGTTCTGTTCCTGTGCTCTCCTGCTTACAAGATCCTAGAATGAAAACAGAGCTTCTGCGTTGCTCTGGCATCTTCTCTTCCCCAGCAGTAACTTAAAACCTTGTGTTTTGCTGTCATATGTGCCTCTGTTGTCCCAGATTTGTGCTGAGTTAGGCCTTCTCCCTGGTCTGTCCCTGAGCATTTATGTGGCTGTAGTGCTGCAAAGGATTAGCATCCCACTGCTGAGACCAGACACTCCATGTGAAATTAATTTAGATGGTTCTGCTATTCAACATGCTGATATCAGCCCTTCTCCTTTGTCAAACTGAAAAACAAGAGCCAGAGGAGTTATCCCCTTTCCTTGGCTTCTCTGGGTTGAATCTCCTGTTGCATCTGTGACCAAGGAACTGACTGAAGAGTCCCAATGTGAAACTTGTTTGCACCTCTACGTGTATTACAGAAATTCCTGAATATGTTGGTTCTGGCTAAATGAGAACTGATCCCAGTGACTTATGTTAGCAAGTGCAGACTTGGGAGAGTAAAGGAAGTGTTTCAGCTGTGTCTGAGGGAGAGGGTAAGAAGTCTACCTTGAACAACTAAATTTGTGATCCTCCAGTGGCCTGTAGTCCTAAGGCAACTGGCCCACTGGATTTTCTTCAGTCTCCTATGGGAAAGGATCAATGAGTGCATAGACCAGCACCATGCAGCCTCTGCAGTGGGCTAAGATGAGAATATGGATGAGCTACAGTAGCCCTGAGCTGCACTGGAGCAGTGAGGTGTGTGTAAACCTGCTGCTGTGAGGTGCTGTTTCCTTGCAAAGTTGAGTGAAAGATGTTTTATGCCTCAGTGTTGGGATGCAGAGCCCATTAGGCTCATATGCATAAAACTAAAGCAAAGTGTGTGGGGGGAGGGTGTTCCACCTCTGGTCCCAGAGTAGATGGAGCTCTTTCCTTCAGGAGAAGTGGGGAAAGTGCTCTCTAAAGGTTAAGGACTGCAGAGAGTAAAATGCTACACTCCCAGCCTCTGCCTTCTTTGACTACCTGGTGAAATTCTGAACAGTCAACTACTTGACTCTACAGTCCCTCTAAAATGTTTTAAATGGCAAAGCCATTCACAACATGTATAACTGAAAAAGCGCCAAGATTCCTAATGCAATTTAGACATAGCTATGGGGGAGGTGGCTTTGCTTGGAAGGACATTATGTACAAAAACGAGGGGAAGGGGATTGTATCAGATGATCCACAGCAGCCTGTCTGCCAGCACAGCATCTGTTTTTAATCGGTTAATCAGATCCTGTTTGAAGCCTTTCTCAGCTGTGCTTCCCTTGAAAACCAGAGTCCTCATCCAGATGAGGCTGGGCTGCTCGCGATTACAATGCGGTTAGCACAAAAGCAGCAAAACTCCGTGTAGCGCGTGCTCAACACTGTCACCAAAATGTTACGAGAAGAAGTCTTTACTCCAAAGAATATATAGGCAGCAGAGCCTCTTCTCCTTCATTCCTCCCATCTTCTGGTGGAGTCCTATCCAATCCTTTTTTTTAGGGGTGAGGAGAAGGAAGATTGTTAAGCACCCACCCCTGTGCTGTGGAAGGAGGACTGCCTGAGGCATCGAGCAACAGTTCACTGTCCTCCTCTAACACTGATGCTTCTGGGTGGCACTGGTTTTAGGAGTGAGATCTGGCTTTGTAGAGAGGCAGCAATGGCATGAGAAACCTGAGCCAAGTCCTGCAGAGATGATCTGGAGAGACTGCACCTGGACTGGAGACGCAAGCCAGTGTACACACCAAATCCGTGTTAGTCAGTGTGGCCCTGACTCATCTCTGCCTGGTGCCTGTGTCTGAACTGCTATCTGCAGATGATTTTCAGATCACCCATTAAGGAAGTTGTGGGAAAATGTGACGGGCTTCATCTCAGCCCTTTGGGAAGGTCCTGTAACTCTCTGAGAACTGACATGAATAGCAGACACTCACAACAAAGTCTCAGTGTGATTATTTTGCCCTTGCTGTGTTGTTTGGGTTTTTCCAGGAAGCGATGAAAAGCAATTTTTAAGTAAAGAGATGATTTAATCAATGACCTTTTAATGAAGCCCTGAGTGACATACTCACCATCTCTGCCTGGACCA